GCCATCACTGCACCAACTAGAAAAAACAACTTGACAGTGAAGCATTTCATTGATATGCATAAAGAGCTCGGATAGCGTTTTATCCTGTCTTCCCCTGCTCGTCTTGTTAGATGTGACAAGAAGTAAGGAAGAGGGAGAGTAGAGTAGCACTGTGCGTACATGTGTGTGTATGTGTGTGATAGCCTGATGTGCTGCAGGTCCGTCCCGGCTGACACCCACCCAGCTTTCTTGGGAGCCAATTAGTCATCGCTGGGCTCGGCTTTGACGACCGCAGAACCGCGGCAGATTCATTTATACACAACTTGTTCTCTCTGCGGCTAATGAAGGTGCTGGAAAGATTGGAAGGGAGGACAGAGAGGAGAAGGGAAGAGGAGCAGACGATATATATTACAGTCAGATGTGTGGGGTCATTATCACAAAAGAAATCTTTAAAAACTGACATGGTAGAATGAGAGGAGGCTGCACGATGAAGGAACGTGAAGTCTTTTCAGCTCTCTGGAGAATTTAACTTGAAAAATAGATGCTGTCAGCTCTGTTTTGTAGTCCTAGATACAAATCTGCTCCCTTGATGTTGCAGCAAATGGTTTTGGATCAAGCTTGAGTGTGCAGGAATGCATTTGACAGCTAAACTAAGGCACTTCTGTGTAATCCTTGCCTTTGTTTCTATCTTTTTGTACTCTCACATACATGCTCACCTCTGTCACTGCAAGTCATTTACGTGTAAGGAGTGTTTACCTCCTACTTTTGCCTCGTTATGTCAATTCTGGCCGATGACTGATACTCGGTGCCCCTCCCTTTTTATTTACCTTAAGCAGCTTTCAACAGCTGCCAGGTTCTGTTTGCTAGATCATGTATTGTTGACATATGGAGCGATGAGGCCCACAAGCTCTGACTTTAAATATATCTCCCCACCCTGGATGTTTTAAAAACATGTGAATGCTGTATTAGCTGAGTCAGAGACTGTGTTTGTTTTTGGTGGTATGGTTCTGTTCTGGGACCTGCTTTGCAAAGCCAGCATAGAACACAGCAGACATAGATTTAACAATGATTAAGTTAGAAGTAGAATTAATGGAGGAAACAGCATCTATGTGGGTTGCAAAGAGGCTTGCACTGAAATCCGCTAGCTTGGATGTGGCTTTCCAAAATTAAAGCTACACTTTATTTTTTTATTTTCATCCTAATGAAAGGATTAAAGTATAGAGAGGTGAAATAATGGGAGCCACTGAGAGACAACCTTTAAGTATCCTTTGTGTAAAAACAGCTGCTTTAAGTGAAATAAAACTCAAAAAGAGCAACTAAAAGCGTCAAATCTTCAATTATTACAGGAAATATGGAACTTCAAATTTCAGTCTGGCCCATTTGACTCCAAAGAAAATTGATATTTCCATCTGCAATAATTTATATTTGTGAGGACGGCCAAGTTCTAGTGAGCAACAGATATGAAAGCATGAAAGGAGGACCTGGGGTGCAGGTGGGTTGCAAAGGAGATTGCAGATTTCTTTTTTCTATATTTTTATTACTGCTTAAATTTATTTTAATTTGTTTACTATTTAATCATTTTGATGTGCTTGCTTTTGTAAAGTGCTCTGGTCATTTGATGTATAATAAATCCGTAAAATGGGAGTGTGGCGAGCACTTAGTTCAAGGGCGTAGATTTGGTTTTGGCATTGGTTGGGACGGATGATTCAACCACCGAACTCTGCCCTGTTTCTTTTTTTTTTTTTTCCTTTTTGTTTTTGCTTCTTAATAAAAAGAGGAGAAATATACTTGCCTACATATGCTATTCTACGTGCTTTTAAACCATTTAAAATCACAATTCATAGTTTTATATGTGAATTAGATAATGTTAAATTACTATTAAACAAATGACTGACTAAGTATTTCAGGCTTTAGTTTACTTCAGCCATATTCCATATAAATCAGGTATCATACAAAAATAAAAATAGCTTCAAATACAGTCATGACAATAAAAGAATATGACTGACACCAACATCTGTTATATTTTGGCACTAAGGGAACACTGCATGTTTGTCAGGGTTTGCCTGGTGGTTTTTGTCCATAAAACTACTCATCTAAGATTACCACAAAGTAAAAGATCTCTCAGCAAAATTATGCAACA